CCTCCTCCTCCTCCTCCTCCTCCTCCTCCTCCTCCTCTTCCTCTTCTTCATGTGATTCTTTGAATACTACCTGGAAAAGTCCAGCTATTTGTGAAGAATAAATGGTAGCATTAAATGGCAGATTTTTCCTTCCTGGACTTGGTTTACATGAGTGGGTGTGTCTGCACTCACAGGTTCTCACATGGCTTGTCACCTTCTCTGAGTGCAGTGTTCTGGGTAACTTTCCTATAACCAATCCCTGGATCAGCAAAAGCCTGGAAGAATGACAGGCATTGCTTGTTCTGGCTGGTGAGACCCTTGATCACAGTCGCAAGAATCCAGAAAGAAAGAGCTTTGGTGGGACCAAGGACCCCAAGGCTTTCCCTCGGCTTCCTCCAAGCCCAGCCAAGTAGGTTGCTTTACTTAGATTTTAAAGGTTTGAAACATCTGACTTGAGGTGCACAGCGGTGGCTCCCAGCCAAAGGTAGGCTGTGTCTTTATTGTTTCTGTGGTTCTTTTCTTTCCCTTTATTTGTCTATTCGGGCATATGTGAGACAGACTAGACTCAGTCCTGGCTAGAATGCTTGTGAACTACAGTGAATTATGAGCAAAACCTGTCTGTTCCATGTTGGATTTCAATATATTTTAATATATACATACTTCTGTTGAAAGGAAAAAATACTATTCACTTACTCGAATAGAGTAAGGCAGGCATGATGGCAGGATTGTGATGGGTGCAGGGACTCCATGCTGTGGGGTTTGCAACAAGGAGAGAGGTAGGGCTCAACTTCAAAGGCAGCAAGGAAAAGTGGGAGGACTGTGAGTAAAGATAGGGGAAGAAGAAAGTAGAAAACGCTATAGCAAAACCTCCTAAACATGGAGGGCAACATGAGCAAGGTACAAAATAATGCACATGAAAACATCACAATAAAACCTCTCTTTGTGTAATTTCTATAAAAACAAGCAAACAAATCTCAAGGTTGTTCAGGTTCTCCTTTGCCACATGAGGACACAGCCTAAAATTACTGTCTTTGATGCATGTTCTCAGCAGACACTGCATCTGTTGGTCCCCTGGCTTTGAACTCCCCACCTCAGAACAGCGAACAAAACACTTTTAGTATTGATAATTCCTTTTTGAGGTAGGGTCACACAATACAGCCCTGGCTGGCCCAGAACTTAGTGTGGAGACCACTCCTGCCTCAAATCCACAGAGATCTGTCTGCTTCTATCTCCCAAGTACCTGGACTAAGGGTGCAAACTACCATGTTTGGCAGATAAGTTTTCCAGGGAATGGTTAGAGATCTGTACCTAAAGAGAAGAGTAGAGATCGAAGGGGAGAAAATGATAAAGAGGAGGCTTGAGAGGCAAGGGGATGAAGGTAGAACTGTGTCACAGGATTCATGGTAAAGGCAGGCTGGGCAAGCAGATACTACCTGGGCTATGGTCCAGGGGGAGGACCATATCTCCTCAGATGCTCTCTTAGTTAAGGTTTCTATTGCTGTGAAGAGACATCAAGACCACAGCAACTCTTATAAAGGAAAACATTTAATTGGGGCTGGCTTACAATTCAGAGGTTTAGTCCATTGCATCATGGCAGGAAGTATGGTGGTATGAAGAGGTTATCTAAATTTTTATTGTTAATAAAAAACTTGGTAGTCAAATAACAGGGTAAAAAACTTACTGAGCAGAGAAATAGCAGAGAAAAGACCAGTGACCTCTCTCTCCTTCCTGGATTCAAAAGAGCCTGAAAATCTTCCTACTACTTCCTGTGTCTCTCTATACTTATCCTGGTCCTCCAAAATCTCTGGCTAATTCTGGTCAGCTAGTTGCCAACTCTGCCCCCTGACTCAAGGTTAAACGTTATTAACAGTCTCAGAGTGTCACTGTGTAGTCAAATATCCTGCAACAGTGGCATGCAGGCAGACATGGCAGTGGAGAGGTAGCTAAGAGTTCTACATCCAGATCAGCAGGCAGCAGAAAGAAAGAGGCACTGGGCCTGGCACGAACATCTGAAACCTCAAAGCCCACCACCTGCAATGACACACTTCCTCAACAAGGCCACACCCATTCCAACAAAGCCACACCTCCTTTCATGGGCCTATGGGGGCCATTTTCATTCAAACTACCACAGATACCCAGGGTGATCTGATAATGAAGAGTAGAGCTTCCAGGGCTAAGCTGACTTGTCAGTATTGGAAAACACAGAAAATAACACAAAGACCCCCCCAAATCAAGTCCCCTTAAGAAAGAAAAGCCCAGGGGAGTTTGTTGAAGTTGGCTTAGGCCAGGGAAAGTTCTTCATTCACATACTCATTCCATTCAGAGGTCCTTACAAAGGCAGATCTTCCTTTAGTTTATTGTTTCATTGATTGATTAATTGATTGAGACAACAGCTTCTTACATAGCCCAGACTGGCTTCTAACTTGTCATTCTCCTGACTCACTGCAAGGTGTGTCTATGTTAAAACTGTCCTACCCACACTGCCTCTGCTGTGTAGGGACACTTTTGAACTCAGTTGCAAAGCACATGAACATACAAAAAGGCCAGAAGACTCCGACTCTATGAGAAGCTTTTTAGTGTCTGGTAGGGAAACAGAACATTGTAATGGGAAGAAAGAACAATGACCACAAATTACCAAGCTGCTGCCTCTGTGGGCAGCTGAGACCTCATACCGCAAGAGAGACCAGGAAGTAACAGGACTTACCTGGGAGTCGGCTCATCTGAGGGAGGCAGGTAAGAGCAACCGGCCTGGTGCTTAGCATGCTTGTAGGACAGGGCTCTTCTCAGTCGAAGGAGGACATCCTGGAGGTATAGTGGAGTGTGGACAGAGATACAGATGTTGCATGTAAAGACCACTGGGCCTCAGTGGAGAACCTTGGATTAAAGAGAGAGCTGCCTATGAGGGAGGGTTTCATAAATAAGGAATAACGTCCTGCTCTAGGATGGAAAGAAAGAGCATGGAGAGAAATCAAGGAGAAAAAAAAATCAGCATAAAGAAAGAGCAGGTAGGTTCAGGGCCACTTAGGCGTACAGATTTTGGCTGAAAATACACACATATGCTCAGACATTTGTCACAAGGTTTCAGGGTTATGGCAGCACTTAAGTTCAAACAGTGGCTGAATCATTAGCTCAGCAATGCCATCAAAGATGAAGGGGCAGGGGCAGGGGCAGGACCAGGGACAGGCCGGTGGAAACTTGTGTCCAGAAGATTGACATTTGTCTTAAACCTCATGTGTTTATCCAGGCTTAGTGGCACAGTGCTTTAATCACAGCACCCAGGGGCAGAGTCAGGTGGATCCCTATAAATTCAAGGGCAGACTGGTCTACATAGTGAGTTGCAGACCAGCTGATCAAACTCCAAACTGCTGATCAAACTCCAATCTCCATGTCTGATGTCAAAATGCTCTTCAGATCTCAAACTCTATTCAACTTTGTTGACCCAACATACATCTTTCTCATGGGCTGGTTCTGCTCCCTGTTAGCTTCTTTCCTGGGCAGGTATTTCACAGCTCTGACATCTCCAAAGCCTGAATGATATAATGGTCAAAGCTGCCAAGTTCTGCTGGTTACTGGAGATGGAACATGCCCCCCTTGTTCAATTACTTCTTCACCATCTTTCTGTCCTTCACTGCCTAAGCTTGGCTATCCAGAAACTGGATCCCTAGACTAGGCTGGCCTCAAACTCAGATATCCACCAGCTTCTGCCTTCCTTGTTCTGGGACTAAAGGTGTGCCCCACCATACCCTGCTTGAAGCTTTATTTTATTTGTTTTACATACCAACCACAGTTTCTCCTCCCTTCTCTTCTCCTGCTCCTCTCTCTTCCCTCCAACCCCATGGGGAATCAACAAAGCCTGGCACATTAAGTTGAGGCAGGACCAAGTCCCTCCCCACTGCACCAAGGCTGAGCAAGGTATCTCACCATAGTGAATGGGCTCCAAAAAGCCAGCTCATGCACCAGGGATAGATACTGGTCCCACTGCCAGGGACCCCCTCAAAAAGACCAACCTACACAACTGTTACTAAGCTTTTCTTTAGTTCCTTTTCACAAGATGGAAACTTAGCTGTGTGAGACCTTTCCCTGAAGTGAGGTCATCACTCCCTTTATTCTATTTCTTGAATACAGGTTTTAGCTCTATTGCACTTTCTGGTGCCCCTTTGTTTGCCTATGGGTTTCTGCATCTGTTTCCATCAGTTACTAGGTGAAGCCTCTCTGATGACAACTGGGCTAGGCAACAATCTATGAGTATAGCAGAATATCATTAGCAATCTTTTATTTTTTTCTTTTTTTACCAGTCATGTTTGTTTCTATCCTAGGTCTCTTGGCTGCCCAGCCTCTAGGTCCTGGCCTTCCAGACTGTATCAGGGGTTCCCTCTCATGGTATTGATCTCAAGCTTGACCAGTAATTGCTTGGCCAATCCCATAATTTCTGTACCAACTTTGTCCCAGCATTTCTTGTAGGCAGGGCAAATTGTAGGTCAGAAGTTTTATGGCTGGGTTGGAGTCCCAATCCCTCCACTACAAGTCTTGCCAAGTTACAAGAGATGGCCTGTTCAGGTTCCTTATCCCCTATTGCTATGTGTCTTAAGTAGGGCCACCCTCATAGATCCCTGGGACTTTCCATTGAACTAGGTTTCTAGCTCATCCTAGAGGGGCCCCCTGATTCCAGTTGTCTTTCCCAGGACTCTCTCCCTCTACCCTCCCCATACCTGATCCCTCCTGTTTCCATTCCCACCCCCAACCGGACCCCCACTCCCAGTCTATCTGTGATGTCTACCCTATTTCCCCTTCACAGTGAGATTCATGTGCCCCCTCCCCCCTCTAGAGCCTTTCTTGTTACTCTGCTTCTTAGGGTCTGTGGATTGTAGCATAGTTATCCTTTACTATACAGCTAATATCCACCTATAAGTGAGTACATATTATGTTTGTCCTTCTGGGTCTGGGTTACACCACTCAGGATGATCTTTTCTAGTTCCACCTACTTGCCAGCAAATTCATGATGTCATTGCTTTTAACAGATGAGTAATTCTCCATTGTGTATACAGTTCAGCGTTTTAGTCCATTATTGTCATGGTGGGAAGCATGGTGGGAAGCAGACAAACATGGTGGTGGAAGGATAGGTAAAAGTTCTACATCTTGATCCACCGGCAGCAGGAAGTGAACTGTGAGGAGTGGTTTGAGCATTTTAGACCTCAGGGCCTAGTGACTTACTTCCTCCAACAAAGCCACACCTACTCCAACAAGGCCTTGCCTCCTAATAGTGCCACTCCCTATGGACCGGGTGTTCAAACACAGGAGTCTATATGTTTTCAAACCACTACTGGTAAATAAAGTTAAAGGTCACATGCAGGTACAGCTGGTAGACACAGACCTGTGTAGACTACCAGACTTATGACTGAAACTCCTTCAGAAAACACCAGCAACTGGTCATGAAGGTACACTGCCCCTTCCGCCTTCTGCCTTCTGGTTTCCCCAGCAGAGCCCCAGACACCAGAGGGCAGCCCCCCAAACTGTGACTTGCACTGGGTGGTGGTGACGCACACCTTTAATCCTAGCACTCAGGAAGGCAAAGGCAGGCGGATCTTTGTGAGTTCTAGACCAGCCTGGTCTACAAGAGATAGTTCCAGGACAGCCTCCAAAGCCACAGAGAAACCCTATCTCAAAAAACAAAACAAACAAACAAACAAAACTGTGACCTGCCTGAATACCTACCCTGCATTATCTTTAATGAAATGACTGCTCTCTGCCAGTCTTGTGGTGACATTCAGTTCAAGAGTAGGTACAGGAAGTGGTTTATATTTCTTTCTACTACAGACTTTTGGATGGTGAGTTAGGAAGAAAAATCCATTTCCAGTCTTATCCTCACTCCAAGGCAGATGAGTGCCAAGATACTGTGTTTTATTTGATAAAAAAAAGAAGAAATGCAATAAAACCCGGTTCTGAATTTTAAACAGTGGCAGCACAGACTCTCTGAGCAGCAAATACTTGGCAGTCTCAAGAGGATTTGTTAAATGTCATAAGATTTCAGAGGGTGACAAACACTTGCTTGGTAATGCAGCTCCTGAGTGAAAGTCTAGGTAATTAGTCAAACTCATCTCTCCTTTCTGCCTCATATACCACATTTCCTCCCCCAGGGAACAATTTTGTTGTTGTTGTTAAAAATACAGATATGACAAAAAAACCTTTATATATAAAAATGCAAATATTTTTAAAGTTTTTTTTTTTAAAAAAAACAATAAATGTAGTATATTTCTCTAAAGATGAACATGGTTGGTTCACTTTCAGGGTGTCCCAGCTCTGTGCTGCAACCCCAGCCTTACAATTTAGATGTAGAATGCTCCCCCCCCAGGGGCCCTTGTGTTGAAGGTTTCTTCCCAAGATTGATGTAGTAAGAGATGGTGCAAGCTTTAGGCATGCGTCACCACCACCCAGAAGGCCTTAAGATCATTAGGGGTGCACCCTGGGGGGAGAAATTATGAGACCCCCTGCACCTCCTCACTTCATGGTCCTATGTTGAGCAAGCAGTAGTATGCTTGCCAATCCCATCTTACCCAAGTGACAGGTCTAACAAACCATGGGCTGCAACCTCTAAGGAACATTTTCTCTGTAAACTTATTGTCTCAGGTACTTGCTGTAGCCATGAGGAGCTTGCTGTCATGGTTAGGGTGACCGCTGCTGTGATGAAACATCATGAGCAAAATCAACTGGGGGAGGAAAGGGTTTATTTCGCTCACAGTTCCACATAAGAATTCATCATCAAAAAGCAGCAAGGGCATAAACTCACACAGGGCAGGAAGCTGGAGGCAGGAGCTGATGCAGAGGCCATGAGAGGCTTGCTTCCCATGGCTTTCTCACCCTGTTTTCTTAAGGAAATCTGGACCACCAGCCCAGGAGAGGCACAACCCACATGGACTGGGCCCTCCCCTGTCAACTAATTAAGAAATTAGTGAGAATTGAACATAGGTCCTCTGGAAGAACATCAAGTGCTCTTGACTGCTGAGGCATTTCTCCAGCCCTGGTGGCATTTTTCTCAATTACAGTTCCCTCCTATCAGATGACTTTAGTGTCAAGTTGACATAAGCTAACATAGTAAACAATTATTTTGTGCATGCGTATTTTACCTGTATGTATGTCTGTGCAGCATATGCTATTCCTGGTGCTCAAAGAAGCCAGAAGGTGTTGATTCCCTGGAAGTGGAGTTACAGAGAGTTGTGAGCGGCTAGCCATGTGGGTGCTGGGAATGGAACATGGGTCCTCTGGAAGAGCAGCCAGTGCTCTTAAGCACTGAGCCATCTCTCCAGATGTTATTATCATCATTATTATTTCACCTAGTGGCTCATAAGCCAAGCAGCAAGGTGGGACAAAAGCTTGCTTTAGCCCGAAGTGATCTGGTATATTAATAAGTGGGCAGACCTCACACACAGGAGCAGAAAGAGACAAATCCTATCCTGTGGGCTCAATCAAATGGCTTCATTCATTTCCTGGGGTTTCTGTGACATGTTTCTTTAAACTCTAAACAAATGTAATTCATTATATGTATCAATCATCTCAGCCATGGATTGTAGAAACCCTAACCCTGGTTGTCTGCAGAGTCAGGCTGTCTCCTTGAGGTCCTGGAACTTTCATTGCCCTGACTAGATTCTGGTGCTGGCCAGAAGTCTCATTGGGCTTTATTTGGCTTGTAGCTGATTCACCCCAATTTACCTCAGTCCTCATGTGGTACCTCCCTCCACGTGTGTCAGTGTCTCTTTCATATAAGGATGCCTGACATGTTGAAGAAGAGTCTCTATTCAGTTATGGTTCCAGCTTAACTTGACGGTATCTCTATCTCGAAGGACCCTGTTTCCATATAAGGATGCATCTATGAGTACCAAAGGTTAGGGGCTAACACTTTTTGTTGGGAGGCAAAGTCACAATATGATAAGCAGAGGCCTAAATTAAAGTTTGTGGTTTGGTAGAGGAGACCATAAGCATCCCCAGAGCATGCCCTCTGCTTCCTCCTACATAATCTCGAAGGCATGGATTTCAGTAGTGACTGGTACCATTAAATTTCAATCTTGGATAGTTCAGCATTTCTTTTTTATTCATGGAAAAGATCGCTTGGGTTAAACTAAAGGAAATGAATCCAGGAAGAGGGTGGGACTGTAGCTTAAATACATTTTTTTTTTAAAAAAATTTTGTTATCTCAAGGAAACAGGTGAATTCAGAAGTTACTACTGTGTAATCCAAGAATTTAAATGTCTGTATATTTCCTTGTTTGTTTAAATGTAAAATGTGGTCAAGGGATGAATCAACACTCTGGAAATGGAAGAGGCCAGTGAATATAACATGAACCCTTATCTACAAGGATTCTCCTCATATCCTCCAATGGATATGTCCTATGACCAGACAGCACCCCTTATACATAATATGCTCTCCTATACATAGTATATTCCTCTGAGAGGGTTTTAGCAAGATGGTGTCTAAGTGGTTAGGGCAGGCAGCTTGTATGGTATGGATATGGACAAAAGGATGATTTGCATCCCAGGTAGGGCAGAGCAGGAGACCTTATCCTCTACTCAAAACACTGTGCCAGTTAAAACTTGAGATTTGTTTGTGTCTGGATTTTCTGTATAATGTGATTATACCGTGATGGGCCTTGAGATAACTGAAGCTGTTGCTGTTGAAGTATGTAGAGACTGCAGATCAATTTACTTGAGGCTGGAGGTTAGGGGCGGACTAAGTTGAGAGTCAGAAACTCCTGGAGGGGCCCTGTTGGTGGGAAGGAAGTCATGTGCCTTTCAACCCTAGTGGTATCAAGAGCTTTTACTGGCCTGTTCCTCTGCCATTTGGACAGGATGGACACAGACCCATACATCTCATACCTTTGTGCGTTTTAGACACACAAAGGGGCCTTTTCCTTCTTCTTTAGTAAAAGATTCTCTGTTAGTTTCTTTCAGCAAGCATGGAGTGTTTTATTTTGTTTTGCATATACTTAAAATTAACCTTTGATAGCATTGGACTTCCCAACCTTAGTTTCAGATGAAGAATTAGATGATTATTTATCTTTGGGGGAAAGGCTCTTTGCTTTTAATATAGTTCGGAACTAAACATTTTAGACTGAAGCAAAGGATAGTTTTTGGAAGTTAAAGTTCTCCAAATTCTATGGTCAGAGCTGTAATGGTCAGAGCTGTAATGAAAGTGGCTTACTCTAGGGGTGGAAAAATTCTGTCATTTCACACCCTCTAGAAAGCTGTTTTATGTAGCTAAGGAAGCTAGACAAGACTGTTGTGTTTATTTACTGGTTCATGATGTCAGTCGAATTCTTCCCATGTACCAGGTGGTAGGCCTGACATACATTCACCTGGTGAAGGGCAGATCAAGGGGCTGTCCATCTCTCCAGGAGCAGCTCTCAGCAAGAGAGAGAGAGACATTGCTGAAGTGGCTGACAGTCTGCTAAGGTTCTGGGAGACTAATAGGGGTGATACTCTCAAATTCCTGTTTAGCTTGAACCACAGGATGCGATGTTTGCAGATGTCATGAAGAAGAGAGCTCACGGGAGCACTGTAGAACCTATACCCAATTCTCACAAGAAGGTGCTCCGTTGCTGGGATGTGGGCACTTGCCTGAGCCCCTGGGTTCCATCCCCAGCGTGCACGAGCACACACACTCAAACCCCACCCCCCCCCACACACACAGGGGACAGGGAGAGGGGACAGAGTGGAACACAAACTGCCTCTCTGAACCTCCAGAAGAATCCTCCCTCTAAAATTCACGAGTTGGACCTAATATGCAATGTGACAGCATTAAAAAGTGGAGCTTTAGCCCACTTTAATACCAGCACACAAGAAGCAGAGGTAGGCAGATCTCTGAGTTTGAGGTCAACTGGTCTTTAGATCAAGTTCAGGACGGCCAGGACTGTTAGAGCAAGAAACCCTGTTTCAAAAATCCAAAAGAAGGAAGAAGAGGAGGGGCCTTTTTGGAAGAGTTAAGCCCCCCGGGGGACTCTGGCTTCAAAAATGGGATTAGTGTTCTTAAGGTGTTCTTTCACCCCTCTAAGGCTACAGTAGTAGGTCTCATGTTGGAGGTGCAAACATACCCACCATGACTTAATGGAGTGCTTCTCAGCCTCCAAAAGTGTGGAGAACAACTTTCTTTTGGGCATAAAATAATGAGTTGCTGATATTTTGTTAACGAAGCTCAAAAGCTAAAAGACCCCAAAAGACCCTAAAAGACCTTGTCTTTCCCTTGCCCCCTGGGGCTAGGCCTGGAGCTCACTGTGTAGCCCTGGCTGGCCTTGAAGTTTTTTTGAAAATCCACAATGATGTTAACCTTTTAAATAAAACTTAAAAGTATTTAATTAGCTCTAACATATACATCCTCGGGATAATTTGGGACTGCTCTGGGAATTGCTCTAATTTTGTGGTTGACATATATATGGTATGTATGCATCATGGTTTTTACGATGTGTATAAAAATATGTATTATGCATGTATCCCCAGGTGGCCTCCAACTTACTACATAGCCAAGGCTGACCCTGAACCGCTGGTCCTCCGGCTTCCACCTTCTGAGGGCTAGGATTCTGGGCGCGTATCACCACACCCAGCTAGCAAATGAGTAAATTCTCAATGTCGGCCGGCTAAGGAGACAACACGCATTTCCCACTTACTCGGCGGCCTCATCCTGTCTTTCAGTCAAGGTTCATCATGATTATCTTTTAATTCCTTAGAGTTAGAGGTCTTGCTGAGAGAAACTCGAAGGC